CACCCCGCAGACGAAAATCTCGATGGCTACGTTTTACGCCCACCGGCTCATGCAGAGGCATCCGCACGATACTGACGCGGTCGAGATGCCGCACTCGACTGGCCGCCTTTTCCAGTAATACACTTGCGACGCCTACGCGAAGGTGGAAGCTGTGCGACTCGACTGGGTAGTCCGCAACCAAGACAAATTGCGCCAAGACACAATGCGAGGACTCCTCCTGCGCCAGGCAACCATCGCGACCCAGGAGTACTTGAGCTTCGCGTTTCCCAGTGCTGCTCGGCTCCCTGCAAAGGACTTCATCGGGCCTCCTCCGTTCGAGGTTCTCCTGTCGGACCCCCAGACGACAGCGCTCCGCTGCGACTACGAGTGGGCCTTCGACGATTCAGGGACGGCGGACCGCCCGAAGTGCTCGGTGACAGGATACCAGGGGAGGGGCCCCCGACCACCTCCGGCGCCCCCTGCAATCCTAGCCCGCCCGCGAGATCGCCCCGATGGGGCTCGCTCAGACAAGCAGGTCGACGTAGACCGGCGGCCAAGGAATACCGCTGACAGCCACCTCTTCCCCGCCCCAGGCGTGCAAAAACCGCCCTCGCCATCCGAACGCCCCCAGGAACCGCCCCCTTCAAGTGCCATTACGAGGCGCCCTTGTCAAGGGTGATCCACCCGACGGACCTCGCGGAGAGCTTCAAGGGCACGAAGATCATCAACGCGGTCGCAAGGGTCCTGAGCATCGGGAAAGAGGCCCGTCGGAGGTGCAACTTCGGACTCTCCCTGACGCGTTCGACCGTTGGGCTTGGGGCCTCCGGGGCCGTTCGAGGGCGAACCCCCCGCCCCTGGGCCCCATTGCCCTTCCCCACTCAAGAGAAGAGCGGCCTCGAGCCAGAGCGGGCCCCGAGGATTTCGACCCAGTCAGGCGAAAGCGCAGCAGTGGAGGCGCCCCGTCACCATCTTGATGCACGGCGGCCAGAAGTTCCCCCTCACGCTGTGGCACGCGCACGCGAAGCGCCCGACCATCGAAGTAGGCGGCGCGCATCTCCTCACGCGCGCCGAGGCGACCCGCCAGCGCAAAATGCCGGACGGAAAGGTGGCCGACGTTCCCTTATCACTGAATGTGTGGGGCTCCTCGGTGCCTGCCGCTGACGGAGTAGGAGTGAGGTGGCCCCGGCGAGAGCAGGCCGGGCCTGCTTCGGAGCATCTGGCGAGCGAGTCAGGGGGCTTTCGAAACTCAGTGCGCGAAAGCCCTGCGTGAACATTTCGGGGCGCCATTGGGCTCACACTGCGCCCTGGCGGAGACCGAAACCTTGGATGCAACCTTTGAGTCCGATGTCTGAGGGGGGGGGGGGGTATCTAATCGGAGCGGAGTCATCCATGACATGCCCCACAGCCTTCCCGCAACACGAACCGTACCTCCAGTGCTCCTCCTCTAGGGCCCCTCTAGGCTTGGCCACCGCGCCCCAGACGAGGCGACAACTTCTGTTTTTTAAACGGCGACCTTCCGCTGCGCAAGACGTGCAGGAAGTCCCCGCGCAATCGTCGCGGGCGCCGTGTTTTTCTCGTCCGCGGGCTCTCGGCACACGCTCGCCTGGTAACCGCTTTCTTCGACTCCCGCCATTCTCCTATATCACTCACCCCCCTGTCTTGCGCGCGCTGCTTTTTCCACAAGTTTCACTCTCTCTCTCTGTCTCTCTCTCTTTCTCTCTCTCTCTCTCTCTCTCTCTCTCTCTCTCTCTCTCTCTCTCTCTCTCTCTCTCTCTCTCTCTCTCTCTCTCTCTCTCTCTCTCTCTCTCTCTCTCTCTCTCTCTCTCTCTCTCTCTCTCTCTCTCTCTCTCTTTCTCTCTCTTCTCTCTCTCTCTCTCTCTCCTCTCTCTCTCTCTCTCTCTCTCTTCTCTCTCCCTGTCTCTCTGCCCCCCTCCCGCGATCTCTCTCTCTCTCTCTCTCTCTCTCTCTTCTCATCTCTCTCTCTCTCTCTCTCTCTCTCTCTCTCTCTCTCTCTCTCTCTCTCTCTCTCTCTCTCTCTCTCTCTCTCTCTCTCTCTATATATATATATAAATATATATATATATGCTCTCTCTCCCTCTCTCTCTCTCTCTCTCTCTCTCTCTCTCTCTCTCTCTCTCTCTCTCTCTCTCTCTCTCTCTCTCTCTCTCTCTCTCTCTCTCTCTCTCTCTCTTTCTCACACTCATTTTCTCTCCTCCCCCCTTTCTGCACACACCTCTCCGACGCTCTTTCTTTCTCTGTGTCAGCCCGCGGACTGGGCGCAAAGAGTCGCTCGCGCGCCGGCCTCGAGGCCGACGACGAGATTTGGCTGCGCGGAAGCGCCCCTTCAAGCGGACGAGCGCCCAAATCTTTGTAACCATATTGTCCCCCTGTCGCCTATAATCCCCCCGTCACCCATGCAAGTTCGATCCTCTTCAACCCGCCGCCGCCCACCCCCGCTTTGTCGCATGTAGGAAGTTCTTATTGAGGCGCGCCCCTGTCTTCCAGGCGATCCCGCCTGACGCGATCGTGGTGGCGCGGCCAAAAGTACAAATCAAACGGCGAGGACGCGGGCCCCTTGCCCCGACTTCCGACGTCGCCCTATGCGCCCACAACGCCGGGCCTCCAAAGTCCGAAGACCCCCCCCGAGATCAGTCCCCCATCTTGAGTCGAGTTTTCGCAGATGCGGGAGCCGTCGAGGCTCCCCTGGAGCCCATAGTCACTAGAAACCTCCCGTCGTTATTATCACGAGGCGAGAATGCGCGAGGGGGAGGAGGAGGACGAGGAGGCCCGCCTCCCCACCCCGCAGGCCGCGGCTGCTGGAGGACTGCGAGGCGCTGTGCGCGCTCGGCAGCTGGGCGCTGGCGCGCGCCTTCGAGCTCGACGGGGGATGCCCGCGAGGGCCGGGGCCCACCCGGGCGACCCGGACGGGGGGCCGCCGTGCGTGAAGGGGACAGTTGGCCCCCAGCGGCATCTGCGGCGCTCCTGGCGCTCGCCGCGAGGAGGAGAAGAAAAAGCCAAATGCGTGACGGCCGTTCTCGCCCAATGCCACCCTACACGTATGCACATGCGTGCCCACATATGCATACCTGTATACTGACTGGAAGAAGCGTGATGAACTGTAAGTGTGGAGTGGACATCGAGCAATAACTTCCGGCACAATTGGCCCTTGCATCTCTGACTGGGACATTCGCAACTTCTGATGCGAGTCCCATGGGCGCAGCTAGAACCTAAGCGCGCGCGAAGCGCGCGTGGTTCTAGTATATATGTATATATATACACATGTATGTATGTATGTGAGTATGTATGTATGTATGTATGTACGTACGTATGTATCAATACATATACATATATGTATATATATGCATGTATATGTAATGCAATTTACGTGGTACACTCTATGTGGAACAACCTACGTGGTGCAATCGATATGATAAACAAGTATGGTGTGCAATACATATACATGATGTGAAAATTATGTGGTGCAGCATGTGTGGCGCAAACTACGTGGTGCATCCTCGTTGGTACAACGTATGTGGCATCAGCTGCGTAGTTCAATCTACGTGGTGCAATGTATTTGGTACAACGTATGTGGTGGAACGTACGTAGTGCAGTTTGTGTGGTGCAAACGATGCGGTGCAATCTACGTGGTGTTATTCACTTTGTCGAACTTGAAGTTGTCAGGTCTATTGCTCGCGCAATCATCCCACCCACCCACCCACCCGCAGCTTGGTTTGCAAAACCCATGCGGGGGCGATTGCGATGACTGCTTGGCGCTGGCTGGCGCATCGCTGCGGCCGCGTTGCAGGCTCGCGCGCAAACTGGCCAACTTGTCTGGCGCGACCGACACGGCCGCGGTGGCGCTGGCCGTTGGGTACTTCCCAGCGCGCGTGGCAGGCCACGGTGGCGCGCGGGCACTCTAGTGCAAGTCGATGATTCGGGCGGGCGCAGTATCATGGCGACGTCGACAACGGCGAACACGAGGATGATAGTAGCGATGTTGCTGACGACGATCACCGACGACGATGGCCAGGCCAAAGACGGAACCCATGTTGACCACGCAGATGACGATGATGGTATCCACGTGTCGGTTTATGAGGGTTGTGCACGGATTTCGACAGGCGCCTGCGGCCGAGGCCCGCGCAATATTATTTGACAGGGATCGCGCCCCTCCCCCCAGCACGCGCGCAATGGCGTTCAAATGGTTTTGATTGTGTGCGCGAGAGACCCATTTGGTCACATGTCAAAAACATGTGGAAAAATGTTGTAGTGTTCACAGAAATGCACCACAGGTGTAACACCCTGTGTGGTACACATTTTCGGGGCATTGGATTTTGAAGCCCGGGCGAAAACTATGGTTTTTGAAAAATGCAGGCATGCGCGCGCGACGCGTGCGCATGTCGTCCCACGTGTTGCAAAGGTCATCGGGTATCTTATAATGTTTGAAAATCGAATGCGCGCGCATGGGATTATCTGACATGGATGAGGGGGAAGTCGATACCAGCTTGGCTGGGATGAGATGAGTTCATATTCAAAAATAGCAATGGGTCTGAATCGTATGTGATTTGCACATCCCCACGGGGTGCCGACAAGTCCGGGGAGGGGGGGGTAGATCAGATTTGTTTCTTCCTGAGAAAAGAATTTATGTGGGCGGCGACGAGGCGGCCACGGGGCGGCGACGGCGGCAACGCAGCCGCCAGACCGACTGACAGGCCTGGCTCATGTGGAACAATGTGGAGCATCTAAATGCAAGCACAGTTGGGGCAATAACCCACCATGGCACCCCCTTGGCAACCCCAGCCGTTATCCAAGCAGGCCACCCCCGAAGTGCGCGTCGAGAATCGCGCTTAGCGCGTCGCGGCCTGGGGCAGACCGGTTGTCCTTCTGCAAGGGGCTGGCGCGATTGCGCGAAGTTCGGTGACGTAGTTTGCTGGACCCCCGCAGTAGGAAAGGCGGGCGACCGCGCCTTCTGTCTCAAGTCACACCGGTGCGCTTTGTCGCCTCGCGTGCCGCGCGGGGGGCAGGTGCGCAGCAGGATTTCGCTCCAGAGCGACGCCTTCGTCCACGCCGACGACGGCGTCACGAGAACACACACGCTGCACCCGAAATTCAACACGCTGCACACGTGGGGGCCTCAGAGGCCTCGCTCGTGCTGCCCAGCCTCGCGTCCCGCCTGCGGGGCGCGGGCGCGCGCGAGCGTGGTGCCGTTCAGTGATGGGCGGTTGCCGGCTGCAGGCGGCATTGATATCCTCTCGGGCCTGCATCGCATCATGCCTAGGCACAGCATCGCGTGGATCGGGGATGGCAGACGTCGACGGAGCGTGCATGCGCCCCGCACGGGAAGGAGACGATCCAGACGCGGCGCTTGCTTGAACACACCTGGTCGGTACGATTGCGCACAGGCCGCGCACGCAGCCCAGCACAGATGCGGGCCCAAGGCTCGCCGTCCATTCCCAGGGGGTCCGTACGGTAGGATACCGCAGTCCATCAGGGAGTGGCAGGGCGGATGCCACTTCCTCCTTCCTGATGATTGAGGGTTGACGAGGGGGAGGAGAAGGAGGTGGAGGAGGAGGAGGAGGAGGAGGAGGAGGAGAAGGGATGATCGAGATTCGAGGATCGACAAGGTTTCTGGACGTTTTTGGGCGTTTTGGGTGTATATGGAAGGGTGTGCGGTGGCGATCCCCCGACCCCCTGTGGCATTGCCCGGGTCCATGCCCGTGCCCGAATGGCAGTCCCGACGAACGCCCGCTTTCGCACAGCGGAGAAACAAGCGAGGTAATAAGTATTTGGGACACGCAGGTCTGATACGTGAGGCAACCAATGGGCGAAGCCAGCGATTTGTCACTTGTGCCCTTGCACATGCTCCACGCTGCAGAGCGAGGCCTTCCCGTTCTGCTGGAAGGGCAAAAGTGTCCATGCCCACTTCCAGGGGTCCCTTGAGGCGTCCAGGCGTCCTCCGAGGCCTCCACAGGCCCGCGATGGCACAGCAATGCGAAAGATGTTGTCATGTGTCGTTGTTTCGTTTGGTGAAAAACTTCAACCCCTGCCCCCAGCACAACGACCAGAAGTCATTTCAGGATGTTCACGCGTACGGTCTGGTACGAGCTTGCGCTGCGCATGACAGCGGCGCGCCCTTGGACTCCCAGTCGGGGGTCGGTAGACTCATTCCCAGTTTGTGTTTCGATCGACGGTGTTGTTTCTTCCTCGCAGCGCGCGGGAAGGCGGAGATGCATCTTTCGTAGCTCGCCCCAGGAAAGGTCTGATTTTCCCCCGAAGATCTTGGGACAAAGCTCTGTCTGTCCGTCCAGTATCCGTACTACGGGGTGTTGTTCGCAAGAGTCCCGGGTTTTTGAAGTCCGTGGCTCCGTACTACGAGGTCTTTGCCCCGCACTACAGACTTTGGGTCTTCCGTTGTTGGCCCGCTTCCCCCTTCATGCTTTTTGTTCCCCCAGCTTCTCCCTGATTCCTTCTTCTACCGCTGCTTCTGCTCTCCTCTCTTGCCCACTCATCCTCCCCCATCCTCCATCTTCGCTTCGCTCCAGGCCACCCCCATCCAAAGCGCCTCCTGATCGGCACAAGCCCCTCCCTGCCGACAGCAACAGTACTACCAACGCCGATTTCGGTACTACATCGTTGTACTGGGGGCAGGGGTCGAAGAATCATCTCTCCTCCTCCTCCTCTTCCTCCTCCTCCTCCTCCTCCTCCTCCTCCTCCTCCTCCTCCTCCTTCTCTTCCTCCTCCTCCGCCCTTTGAAAATAAGCATCGGCGCTGGCGCGCGGGCCCCAAACAGCCCCTGCTTGCAACAGGGGCAACCGCCCCTATGTATGTGGAATCCGCCCACGTACGCGTGTTGAGCCCTGCGTGTGCGTTTGGAATCGCATGTGTGTGTGTGTGTGTGTGTGGGTGGGTGGGGGGGGCGTTGTACGGGAGTGTGTGAGTGTGTGGGTGTGTGTTTGTGTTCGCATGCGCGCGTGTGCGCATGTAGGCATGCGTGTTGCGTGATGTGTGTACGCGTGTATGTGTGAATGTGTGCGCGTGTGGATGTGTGGATGTGTTGGTATGATGTTATGTGTTGTGTGCGTCTGTGTTCACGCGTTTACGCGTTTCTGTGCGTGTGTCTGTGTGTATGTGTTTATGTGTGTGTGTGTCTGTGTTCCTGTGTGTATGCGTTGCTGAGCTTGAATGTTTGTGTGGTTGTGTGCGGTTGTGTGTGATTGTGCGTGGTTGTGTATGGTCGTGTGTGGTTGGGTGTTTGTGTGTTGTGTGTGTGTTTGTGTGTGTTTGTGTGTGCGTGTGTGTGTTCGTGTGTGCATGGGTTGTGTGGTTGCGTGTGTGCTTGTATGCGTGTGTGGGTGTGATTGGATTCGGTTGGGTGTGTGGGGGTGTGGTTGTGTGTGTGGTTTGTGGCTAAGTGTCTGTGTGGTTGGGTGTGTTGCTATGTGTTGTGTGGTTGTGTGTGTTGTGTGTCTGCGAGTGTGGTTGTATGGTTGTGTGTTGGTGTGGTTGTGTGCCTGTGCATGTGTTTGTGTGTATGTGTGTATGTGTTTGTGGGCATGTGCTTGTGAGGATAGTTGTGAGTGTGTCTGTGTGCATGTTGTTGTTTGTGTGTTGTGTCCGTGATTGTGCAGGTTTGTGTGTGTGTTTGTGTTTGTGTGTATGTGTGTATGTGTCTGTGTGTTGTGTTTGTTTGGGTGTGTGGCTGTGTGGGCGTGTGTGGGTGCGGGTGTGCGCGCGTGTGCGTGCTTGTGTGCGTTTGCGCGTGCGTGCGTGTGTATGTGTGTGTGCGTGCGTGCGTGTGTGCGCGTGTGTGTGTGCGCGTGTGTGTGTGTGCGTGTGCGTTTGTGCGTGCGTGTATCCGTGAGCGTGTGCGTGTGTTTGTATTGTGTGTGCTGTGTATGTTTTGTATGTTGTGTGTGTGGGTGTGTGTGTGTGTGTGGGTGGGCGTGAGGGTGTGTGGGTGTGTGGGTGCGTGTGTGGGTGTGTGGGTGTTTGTGTGTATGTCCGTGTGTGTCTGTGTTCGTGTGTTCGTGCGCTCGTCGTCCCCATGCGCTCGTCGTCCCACAGCCAAAAATAAACTCGCCGCCCCCAGGGCCCGGGCCTCGCTTTCGAGGATCGAAGGAGTTAACACATCTTCCTCGGCGGCAATAAATCGGGGACGGCTTCGCTGGCGAAGCCAGCGGAAACAAAAATAAGTTATCCAAGAGGTTGCAGTTTTAGGGGGGGTCAGGGTTTTCAGAAACCGCCACGTGAGAAGCGTTCATTCCCAGCTACGCTCTCAGGAAGTCTTAGTTCACGCGGGGGGGCGGCCGAGGGTGCACCAGAATTGCGGGAGCCCGGGACCTGGGGCCCTCAAATATAATCTCACAGCATCACGAAATTCGCCAGTGAGGATCCCTAGGGACATGTGGAGACGCCATTGGATACCTCGCGGTTCGGTGGCGGGTGTCCGAGATCAGTTCAAGGTGTAGCCCTAATTTCTCTGTTCTTGTGGGTATACTTCTCGTCATTGTATATTGTGTCACTTGCCGCCAACTGCACTACATGGAAGTTGGAAAAAGTGATTGGGGCCAGCCCTTCCACTCTTTCTAGACCTGGCCAGTTTCCCTTTGTTTTTTCCAGCCCTGGCGACCACATCCCTACTGTTTCGGGCTCGCTTCGCCCAGGAGGGATCGAAGGGAAGAGGCTTCCCTTCGACTCAATTACGACGTTAGTCAATTTCGCTTTGGCTGGCGCGCTGAGGAGGTCCCTGGGGCTGCCCGTCGACTCAAGTACGACCAACGAATAACAGAGAGGGGGGAGGCAGGGAAAGGGGACGACAGAGACGACGACCAACGAATGACGGAGATGACGAGTTGAACGGACAAGCCCCTCACACACGCCGACAGGGTCGGCGGTTTTTCCAACTTCCACTTTTTGCAGCTTCCCTGTACTGCTGCCATGGGCTTCACCACGCCCTCGAGGCACACAGCCGCCCGAGAGCCCTTCCCCGCCTGCTGACCCACCCGCACGCCCCCCCCAGCGCGGGGGAGGAAGAGGAGAGGGGCAGGAGGGCGCACGGGACGGAAGCGGGAGCGGAGCGCAGGGGGACGCGAAGGAGGGGAGGCGGAGGCCTCCTCCTCCTCCTCCTCCTCCTCCTCCTCCTCCTCCTCCTCCTCCTCCTCCTCCTCCTCCTCCTCCTCCTCCTCCCGCCTCCTCATCCTCCCTGGCTCCTGGTTGTGGCGGCTGTGAGGGGCGGAAGGTCGCTGGTCGACTTCCCCGCACCACCCCTGAAAAGTCCCACCCGTCGCGGGATGAAGCTGCCAAGCGACTGTGAGACGGAGCGCACATGGAGCGTTCTCCTCCCCAACCTCTTCCTCGAGGGGGCGGCCAGGTTCTCGCACTGCGCGTTCCCCGACGAGGGCGCCATGCAGTTCTCGGTGTGGGAGGCCGCGTCCGGCTTGCTGGGTTCCGACATGTCCATCGGCGCCGACATCATAGACCTCGAGGAAGGGTGTCGGAATTTTCGGCCAAACGGAATATTGGATCTCACCCTCTGCCATAACCATAGAAAATGCTCAGCACAGCCCCTGGCAGCACATCCAGCACCACCCCCACTCCCAGACTCCCCTCCCACCCGTGCACATGCCTCGTCTCTGACCTTGCATTTTTTCCTGGCATGCGCCCCGAGGGACCTAGGCCCCTTCACACGGGCTGGCGTTTCATCCCGAGTCGTGTTTTCACGGTCCTGGAGCTGGGAAGCACCCCCTGGAGGCCGAACGCGTCGAAATTTCTGCCGAGGCGGTTGTTGTTGCGGCGCCCGGATCAGGAGGAGGAGGAGGAGGAGGATAAGGAGGAACGAGAAGGAGGAGGAGTGAGGAACGAGGAGTAGGAGTGTTGAGGAAGAGGAGGAGTAAGGAGCAAGGAGTGAGGAGCAAGGAGTGAGGAGTGAGGAAGAGGAGGAGGAGGAGGAAAAGGAGGAGGAGGAGAGGAAGAGGAGAGGAGGAGGAGGAAAGGAGGAGGAGGAGGAGAGGAGGAGGAGGAGGAGGAGGAAAAGGAGGAGGGAGGAGGAGGGAGGAGGAGGAGCGAGGAGGAGTGAGGAGGAGGAGGAGGAGGAGGAGGAGGAGGAGGAGGAGGAGGAGGAGGAGGAGGAGGAGGAGGGAGGAGGAGGAGGAGGAGGAGGAGGAGGAGGAGGAGGAGGAGGAGGAGGAAAGAGGAGGAGGAGGAGGAGGAGGAGGAGGGAGGAGGAGGAGGAGTGAGGAGGAGGAGGAGGAGGGAGGAGAGGAGGAGGAGAGGAGGAGGAGGAGGAGGAGGAAGAGGCGTGAGGGGAGGAACAGGCGTGAGGAGGAGGAGGAGGAGGAGGAGGAGGAGGAGGAGGAGGAGAGGAGGAGGAGGAGGAGGAGGAGGAGGAGGAGTGAGGAGGAGGAGGAGGAGGAGGAGGCGTGAGGAGGAGGAGGAGGAGAAGAAGAAGGAGGAGGCGTGAGGAGGAAGAGGAGGGGGCGTGAGGAGGAGAAGGGGGAGGAGGAGGAGGCGTGAGGAGGGAGGAGGGCCACCTCAGGGCAGGACCGCTGGTTCCACCCGAAGTATCAGAAGATGGTCGCGCGGGACGAGGTGCCCATCGAAACAAGAGGCGCGCCCGGCTGCGCCCCGGCATACCCGGTCCGCCCCGGGGCGGGGAGCGGAGGGAAGGGGAGGAGGAGGGGGGAGGCAGGGACAGGGGAGGAGGGGAGGAGGGGGGGGGGGCGTGGCCCGTGGCCCGTGGTGTGGCGGCCGCCCTTCGTGCGGCGCGGCCGTGGTGCTTGGACAGGAGGGCGGCGGCAAGGAGGAGAGCGGGGGCAGACGTGGCACAGAAGGAGGAGGAAGAGGAGGAGGAGGAGGAGGAGGAGGGAAACCCTATAGGTGAGGCGCCCCCCGCTCCGGCGTCGGGCTCCAGCCGACAGGCCCCCGGCCGCGGGGAAGTGCGTCTTGCGTGCATTGCTCGCGATGAGAGCCCGCGCCGAGCGGCCCGGCCGGGCGCGCGCCCCGACCGGGGGGTGGCGTCAAACGGTGCGGACGGAAGGAAGGAAGGAAGGGGGGCGGCGGAGTCTGCGGAGGAGGCAAATCAGAGGAGAAGCAGAGACCACCGCCACCGAGAACCCGCTGGGGGGGGGGGCCGACCCCTGGGCGGTGGCACGCCCGAGCGTCACCCAGTGCAGCACGACGCTCAGGCGTGCCATCGCCCAAGAGTTGACCCCCCCCCCCTTCCATGGGTTCTCGGTGGAGGTGGTCCCTGCTTCTATTTTGAGCATACGCGCAGGGCTGCGAGGAGGGAAAAGAGGACCAAGCAGCAGCTGCATCAGGAGGCGCAGGCAGAGGCGGAGGAGGCGGCGGAGCAGGAAAAATTCGAAGGGAGCAGCGGCAAGAGGATGTAATCAGGGGCGCAGGCAGATGGAGAGGGAGGCGCGCGGAGCGCAAGAGGCCTCACCGACACCGACTCGAGCTTCTGCAGCGGGCACCTGCGCATGTGGATCGACATAATGCACCGAGAGGATATTGTCTGGCCTTGTGTGTGTGCGCCTGTGCGGCGGCCCCCCTCTCCCCCTCCTCCGCCTCACCCAGCGGAGCAGGGCCAAGGAGGCGGCCAGGTGGGCCTGATTTCCTCCCCCATGCTTAAATCATGTTCCCACTTAAGCCATTCATTCGTTCATTCATTCATTCGAAAGAGCGCGTTCTGTGGGCGCTTGGAGGGGAAGGGGGGGTTTGGAACCCGACACCCCCCCCCCTTGGATTGAAGTGGGGGGGGGTTCGAACCCCCCCCCCTCTCCTGTGACAGAGGTCGGGGGTTCAAACCCCCCGCCCCCCCCCTACTTCTCCTCTCTTCCTCTCCTCGGGCCGTCGCGTCAGCGGCGGCTGGCGGCGGCGGCGGGGAGCGTCGATGAAGACGACGACTTCCATTTTTTGGCCAGCGCCGGCGTTTGCGGCGGCTGGCGGCGGCGGCGGGGAGCGTCGACGCGGACGACGGCGACACCGATGACGACGACGACGACGACGACGACGACGACGACGACGACACTCCGCCACCGTGCCTTGGTTTTGGGTCAGAGTCCTAATAGATGACTCTTGGCGTCTCGTCGGAGGGCTCTCGGGGGCCTCCGAAGGGCATTTGTGAAGCCTCCTGGGCGCCTCTTGGAAGTCTCTCGGGGCCTCTCTGAGGTGGTCGTGGTGGTGGTGGTGGTGGTGGTGGTGGGCTGTGGTGGTGTGGTGTGTGGTGTGTGGTGTGTGGTGTGTGGTGTGTGGTGTGTGGTGTGTGGTGTGTGGTGTGCTGTGGGTGGTGGGTGGTGGGTGGTGGGTGGTGGGTGTGGTGGGGTGTGGTGGGTGGTGGGTGGTGGGTGGGGGTGGTGTGGTGGTTGTGGTTAGATTGTGGTGGTGTGGTGGTTTGTGGTGGTGGTGGCGGGTGGTGGTGGGGTGGCGGGTGGTGGTGGTGGCGTGTTGGTGGTTTGGTGGTGGTGGTGTGGTGGTGGGTGGTGGTGGTGGTGGTGGTGGGGGGGGGGGTGGTGGTGGTGGTGGTGGTGGTGGTGGTGGTGGTGGTGGTTGTGGTGTGTGTTGGTGGTGGTGGTGGTGGTGGGTGGTGGTGGGTGGTGGTGGTGGTGGTGGTGGTTGTGGTGGTGGTGGTGGTTGGTGGTGACCGTGGTGGTGACCGTGGTGGTGACCGTGGTGGTGTGCCGTGGTGGTGGTGGTGGTGGTGGTGGTGGTGGTGGTGGTGGTGGTGTGGGGTGGTTGGTGGTGGGTTTGGTGGGTGGTGGTGGTGGTGGTCTGTGGTGATGGTGGTCGTTGTGGTTGTGGTGGGTTGTGGTGGGTTGTGGTGTTGGTGGTTGCGTTTTTGGTGGTGGTGGTGGTTGCGTTTTTGGTGAGTTTTGGTGGTGGAGATGGTGGTGGTTGTGGTGGTGGTGGTGGGTTGTGCTGGTTGTGGTGGTGGTGGCAGTGGTGGTGGTGGTGGTGTGGTTTGTGGTGGTGGTGGTGGTGATGGTGGTGGGTGTGGTGGTTTGTGTGGTGGTGTGTGTTGGCGGTGGTGGTGGTGGTGGGTTGTGGAGATGGTGTTGATGGTGGTGGTGGCGGGTGGTGGTGGTGGTATGTGGTGGTGGCGCGGTGGTGGTTGGTTGGTGTGTGGGTGTGATGGTGGTGTTGGGTGGGTTGTTGTTGTGGTGGTGGTGGTGTCGTGGTGTTTGTGTTGGGTGGGGTGGTTGTAGTGGTGGTGGTTGGTGGGGTGGTGGTGGTGGTGGGGGTGGTGTGGTGGTGGTGGTGGTGGTGGTGACCGTGTGGTGGTGGTGGTGGAGGAGTGGTGGTTTGTGATGTGGTGGTGGGCTGTGTGTTGGTGGTGGTGGTGCTGCTGCTGCTGGTGTGTGGTGGTGGTGGTGGTGGTGGTGGTGGTGGTGGTGGTGGTGGGTGGTGGTGTGTGGTGGTGGTGGTGGTGGTGGTGGTGGTGGTGGTGGTGGTGGTGGTGGTGGTGGTGGTGGTGGGGTGGTGGTGGTGGTGGTGGTGGTGGTGGTGGTGGTGGTGGTGGTGGTGGTGGTTTGTGGTGGTGGTGGTGGTGGTGGTGGTGGTGGTGGTGGTGGTGGTGTGGTCGGTGGGGTGGTGGTGGTGGTGGTGGTTGTGGTGGTGGTGGTGGTGGTGGTGGTGGTGGTGGTGGTGGTGGTGGTGGTGTGGTGGTGTGGTTTGTGGCGGTTTGTGGTGGTGGTGGTGGTGAGTTTGGTGGTGGTGGTGGTGGCGGTGGTGGTGGTGATGGGTGGTGGTAGTGGTGTGGTGGTTTGTGGTGGTGGTGATGGTGGTCGTGGCGGTTGTGGTGGGTGGTGGTGGGTTTTGGTAGTGGTGGTGGCGTTTTCGGTGGTGGTGGTGGTGGTGTATTGGTTTGTGGTGGTGGTGGTGGTGGGTTGTGTTGGTTGTGGTGGTGGTGGTGTCGGTGGTGGTGGTTGTGGTGTGGTGGTTTTTGGTGGCGGTGGTGGTGGTGGTGAGGCCTCCGGGTCTTCCCGCCACCGTGTTTTGGTTTTGGGTCAGGTGGTGGTGGTGGTAATGGTTGGCTGTGGTGATGGTTTTGGCGGTGGTGGTGGTGGTGGTGGTGGTGGTGGTGGTGTAGTGGTGGTTGGTGGTGGTGGTGGTTGTTGTGGTGGTGGTGTATAGGGTGATTTGCATTTCCCCTCTGCGGCCTCTGGGCCCTCTCTGGTCATCGTCGCTGCGTTCCCGCCGTCGGCGCTGGTGGCCGCCGCCAGCGCCGGCGCCGGCGCCGAAGAGGGGGGGGTTTGGACCCCCCCCCTTCTGGGCCCTCTCTGGTCATCGTCGCTGCATCTGCCGTCGGCGCTGCTGGCCGCCACCAGCGCTGGCGCCGGCGCCACGAGGGGGGGCGGGTTTGAACTCCCCCCCCTAGGAGGGGGGGGGGGCTTTGGGAGGGGGTGAGGGGGGAGGGGAGCCCCCCCGGTTGTGGTCGACGGCGCCGAGCGTTGGGGGGGTGGCCACCCCCAGGTTCGAAACGCGCCGCCGAGTGTTCCCAAGGCAAGCGCCCGTGAAACGCGCTCTCGCATTCATTCACTCATTCATTCATTGTCGGTCGTGCCATTTCGTGGCCGTGCGCTCGCGTTTGCTCTGCCGTCCTAGCACCGGCCGGCGTGTCTGTCTTAGTGGCGCATACGCGCGTCCTCCTGGCGCGCAGACTTGCCGCGCCGTCTCGTCAAGAAGCGAGTTCGTGGGCAACGTGGCCAGCACCATGCATCCGTCGATTGGACCCAGCGGCGCGTCGGGGAAAAACTGTACGCGCGTGCGCGTCGCACCTTTTTTTTTAACCGAGCGTCGTCATAGGTTACCATTGCCCCTCTTTCCGCAATCGCCGTGTCACACCAAATTTCATCGTCGCAATGAGGTTATCCGACACACAACACGTTCAGCTGTCGGAATTTGCTGCACGTTTCCTCATTCATCAAGACGTTGGGGATAAGCCGTCGCTGGTTCGCCTTGGATCTTCACATGGGCCTGATACGTCGCGCTTCCACTCGGTAGCAGGATGTTTCGTTCCCCTTTTCGTACCCCCTGGACCTGCGATTGGGGGCAGAAGCACTGCACCAGTTCATCGTTTTCATGTCTCCCTCATGTCCTCGTCCCCCCGTCACCGCTTCCGTTCTGCTGATCCTGCTCATCCTGTCGCGTCTTTCGGCCCGAGACAACAGCCAAGCTTGGATTTGTGCGCAGCCCGCGGCAGTTACATTGCGGTCACAAAAAGGCCGACGCCAAGCATGACAGTGTCATTCCCGCGTTGGACAGCGCTGTGGTGCACTGCGACGGTTCACGTCCTCGCCGTGGGTGGCAATAACACTCCAATGTCGTGCTTGCCTCCGCTGACAGTCGCGCTGTTCAAGACGGAGGGCGCGGAATGGTGCGAGCAGTTTTGCGTTCCGCTTCCGCTCGTGCCAGCCGTTCGACAGTTCGGGGACGTGGAATACGGCCAGTGCAAAACCAAAGGGTACCCGCACTACGACCACAGCCAGGACATGAAGTTTTTCAAGGTGGACCTCTACAAGAACGATCAAAGATCGACCGTCGAGGCGGAGCCCAGAGAGTCGGGAGACCGTTCGATTCCATTGCGACTGGGCCAGTCGGACATCGAAGCGGATTGCGAAGCGATGAGGCCAGATTCTAGCCTTAATGCTTCGGTCGTGTGGGGTCAACGGGCTTGTAATTTCTCGTGCACCGCACGGGAAAGCTTAGCATGCATGACCTGCCCTGATGGGATTGGGGCGGCTTTTGAGAGAGCGGGAATGTCAGACAGCCGTTCTGTATGTAGCCACACGTTCTGGCCTTCGGAAAACGAACCAGAGTTGGTCACGCAAGTGTGCCCCGAGTGGAGGCTTGAGCTTGATTTGACAAGTGCGCATGGAAAGCTGGGTGGTATGGTTGTGACGCTGAGCATGTACACTGATAGCGCAGTGAGGACGATCAGCGAAGCAATGCGGCCCCAGCAAGGAATACAGTACGTATGAAAGTTTGACGACCCAGGTGAAATGGGTATGAACGCCTCGAGAACAGCTGACTTTCGCAACAACACTGAGAGCGATCGTGCTATGTTCGTCGTGGTCGTTGCAGTGCTCGGTTTCAGGCTGCGTTGAGCGCCGAGGTTGAGGGCAAGCATATACACAGCAGTGAGATCAGAGACGGTAGTCTGTGCGTAAGTGGCCACACAGTCTCGCGATAGGCAACGACGGTCTCTGGTTCCCGGACCAAGATGAGAATCATCGACGGCCGTTTGAGTCCGAAGAGACGTTTCGAGAGATGAAGTGCCAGATTGGGCCACATACGTTTCTTCTTCTTCCTCCCTCGCCCCAACTCCCTGGCCCCCCTGCCCGAAGCGGGAGAAGGAAATTTCATCCTCACGCGTTGTCGTTGTCTTCCTCTCTCGTTGTCACTGCACTCAAGTAGGACAGGGCAGGGGTCCCTCCTCACTCATGTTGTTGTTCTGTCCTCCCTCGGCCCTCCCTCCCCAGCGCTGCCGCCCGAAGGGGGGGAACAG